AGCCAATCAAAAACGGTGAATCCTAAATCATCCAATGAGAGATGGAAACCATTTCACAGTCACAGAAACAGACGGTCACGTCATTACATTTAAATGGCTTCCTCTCTCAGCCAATCAAAAACGGTGAATCCTAAATCACCCAATGAGAGTTGGAAACCATTTCACAGCCACTAAACGCTTTCCTGTAAGAATAATTCATTTTGTAATATTAAAACTTACATTAAGCTTAAACAAGTATTTAAGAATATCTTGAGTTAAAGCCTGTAGATAACCTATAGGACTGGCCAAGAGTGAGGATGAAGACACTGCTCCTAGGATCAGGGGGGGAATGGACGGTCCAGCTGAAGGTACATAAAGAGGTGACAAAAGGAAACGACAGCGTTCTACTTCATGTAACAGAAGAAGTAACTCCATATTCATTGCTGTGGATCAAAGTTTAAAAAAACCTTCAGTATTAAGACGCGATAACACGGAGGCATTTTCTCTGAAAACTTGTCTCGCAACATTTAAAAAATGTTATTGTAGGTTATACCTTGCAATGCTCTATGCAACTCGTTTGCGACACAAATTGCAGAGAAAATAGCTCATGTAATTTTTAGGCAGGAAGGAGCAGTTCCAGATCTGCCTTGTGTTTGAGGTTGAGCCAATGTGAATCAAGGGTGGTATTGCGGTAGTACACTCGCTTCTAGTGTTTCTGGTTTAATTCCTAGAATCAGCATTCAGTACACTATGAGTATAGTTTGTTAGGTCTTCTTACCTGCCAGATCTCCTCCACTGGAGCCGTGCAAAGCGCAATAGTTGAGTAAAATATTCAACAAGGTTCGGTTTTTTCTTAACCACTGAACGTGTTTGGCTGACTTGTCTATTTTCATGGCGATGTAGTTTTTGTCTTCCTTCGTCATTTCTTGGTTGTCGTCAATACCTGATCAAAAAATTTCAATTCAGCATTATCACTAGGCTCTGTCACGCATTATTACTAGGCTCAGTCACGCATTATCACTAGTATCTGTCACGCATTATCACTAGGCTCTGTCACGCATTATCACTAGTGTCTGTCACGCATTATCACTAGGCTATGTTACGCATTATCACTAGTATCTGTCACGCAATGTTTCCCTCCCTACGAACGTCTGCTTACTCGAGCAGAACATTCCTTTCCAATTGTTATCATGGGCCAATTGAAATCGGCTTATGGTTTGTCGAGGAGCCAATCAAAAACCTCGATAGAAATTTTGCGCGAACACTATCATTTGCATTTTCTATTTTTATCACAATCATCTGCAAACCATCATTACCACCACTCATCAACATCACCGTAGTCATCGTCATCACCAACGTCATCATCAACGATCATGCACCATTGCCATCTTAGTACTTGTCATCCAACATCATCATTATTGATCAATATCACCATAATCACCACCATCAACATCACCATCGTCATCAGCAGCACCATTCTAATACAGACTACATTACTATTACCTGTGTCAGGACTCGCCTCTGTTGTTGGCTCATCTATCTCCATTTCATTTGCCTTTGTACCATAGTCAGCCATCTTGTGCAGCACAGCAAACTCCATCTCCATCCATCGCATAAAAAACGACCTCAAATCTTCATCAGCGATCTCACACGCCGCTGGAAGACCATGCAACTCATCCAGGAGCATCTTTAGAATCGCTGAGAACTTCATTTGCTGTGCTATCACATCGAGGTGGCGTACTTCTTTAGATTTAGCAGCGACAGTATCCGTTGCGTCAGGTTCATCATGGTCCTCTTTGGCAGGGACTGAATCACCATTTAGGTACGGATTATCATTGACAGGAGAGCCCCAGGACGTGAACCCACCATCGAGACCTTCTTCTGTTAATTTTGATGAAACCGGTTTACTCCAGTCAAAGTCTTCACTATTATCGCCTAAACCTGTTCCACCCAGTTTTGATGAAACCGGTTTACTCCAGTCAAAGTCTTCACTACTATCGCTTAAACCTGTTCCACCTAGTTTTGATGAAACCGGTTTACTCCAGTTAAAACCTTCACTACTATCGCCTAAACCTGTTCCACCTAGTTTTGATGAAATCGGTTTACTCCAGTCAAAGTCCTCACTACTATCGCCTAAACCTGTTCCACCGAGTTTTGATGAAACCGGTTTACTCCAGTCAAAGTCTTCACTGCTATCGCCCAAACCTGTTTCACCTAGTTTTGATGAAACCGGTTTACTCCAGTCAAAGTCCTCGGCGCTTCCACCATTGACAGTGGGACCATTTCCCAATTCACTGTCTTTTTGTCTCTTATTAAAATCAAAATCTCCCAGAGTACCAGTGTTGATCATGTCATCTGTGACATCACTTGGAATACCCGACTCCTCAATGAGGGTTGGCTGTTTCATTACCACCGAATTTTTTGGATTCATATCAGTTGCGGGGAGTTCCATCAAAACTTGAAGGGCCAGGGCAGGGCAACCAGAGTTGAAGTGCGCATGCGCAGTCTTGAAAAAGAGCTGCCGTTCCATAGTGGTAAGCGGTTCATCAACAAAGACGTCATCAGTGATGCTCTGCTGTCTTGTTAAACGTGGTGCGCAGTTTTGTTTCTTTAAGATCTTGGCTTTGTACTCGCGTTGGTCGGTTTGCCTGAAATGTCTTCGCTTGATCAAAGGATGCTTACGTAAAAACAGATAAAAGTTAAAAATATCGGGGTTACCGCTGGCTGCAAGAGAGTTGTATTGTGGTTCTTTAGAAGCATCGGTGGCAGGCTCGATGATGAGAACCTCAAGAGCCATGTTGTAGTCTTTCAGAATCCAATAAGTGATGCTACGGAGGAATGGATCTAAAAAAGTGAAATAAAAGCATAATAATGAAAATAAAATAATATATACAGATAAAGGAATATATGTAACACGCAGAGCTCTTTCAGGATACCCCCTGTCTCCATCGATCCTCCCAGATCAGAAACAGGTGCATGTGAGACTGTTAGGGATTCCACAGGGGAACCTTGCCTTGCCGGTAAAAAAAACCAACTTGTCTCTCTATGTGCTCTCATAGAGCTTCGACTCGTATTACTTCGTAAGTAAGAGCTTCTACCGAACTTATATAATGTTACCTGTTCTCCCTTCAGACCCAAGGGCACAATCGTTAAGAAGCCGATGATATTCTGGACCCCTGGAAGGCTCTTCATACAATCGAGTAAGAACCATCGCTAACTGAAGATCATGTAGACGATTAATGCACACCTAAGAAATGAACACGCAGCTATTAATACTAATCTTATGCCACCATTCGTCTTATTCGTGTCTTAGGTCCCGAGAGAGCCTGGAATCGACGAGCATGTGAACGAGGTTAGTTGTTCTTGAGTGAAGAGCTTTAAAGTGAATTATGAATTTTTTATCTTATTTATTTTTTTGCTATCTCCTTTCATAAGAATTGCAATTAAAACGCGGTACGGTTATTTAATAAACTGTAATTACTTTAGTTTTAATGCGCTACTTCGACGATACAGCGGCCATCTTGGAATGCAAGACATTACGGGTCGTCCAGGGGGCAAATAAAGCTTTGTTACAGTAATGACGTCGATTGATATTAACAGCTCACCACAAGAATACAACAAAAGATGAATTAAGACGACACATCGGTCACCTTTACCCAAAAAAGAAAGACAAACTCGAAAATCTATATATTTCCGTCATCTTTGTCTTTGTTTTGCCCCCTGACAAGATGTCCGCCGTATCGACGAAGAAGTCCATTGGTACCAGTCTTCATACCTGGATTGCATCCCACAGGGATCCCGCAAGAAGAAAGAATGCCGCTGCATGTTCAAACCTCTGCATTCCCAACAGTTGATAAGCATTTTTCAGCGCAGCCTTGCGCCATCGGTCCTCCTTGAAATTATTCATGAAGAACTTGGCCATGCGTGAGTCACTTACAGACCTATGGGGAGTATTGACGGGAGAATTTGTCAAAATGTTTAAGAACATCATTGGCTTTTATTCTTTTCTTTCTTTCTCACTCCCTTCCCTCCATATCTCCCATTCCTCCACTCTCCCTTCTTTTCTTCCTTATCCTTCCATTCGTCCTTCCCTCTTCTTTCATTTCTTAATTCCTTATTCCCTCTTTGCCTACCTCCCTCCCCCCTCTTTCTCTCTTCCTTCCTTCATTTATGATGACTTACCTGTACAGTCCACAAATGACGTTTTTCTTTTTCATGCTCAGGTAGAACAGCGCGCAATCCAGTGGATCTTGTCTTTGCGCAAATTGTGCCTTTGAGACCTTCAAAAAATATACCAGATTGAAAATTCTCTTCGCGAGTTCGAGATTCGCGCTCCAACATGAATGACAAAGTGTGGTTTTCTTTCGTTTCTATGGCAACTCATACTGTATATATTTTTAAGGGGGCGCGTGCGTCAATCTATCAACCAAGACGAATTGTACATGTTAGACAATGGGTTTTGTTACTTTCGGTTTTTCTAAAACCTTACCTTCTCGACGAGCCTCCTTAACGTGTCATCACTACGAACCCACCAACCAACACCAAACTGTCGCAGTTCTGCCCAGGTAGGTTCGCCTTTTAACATGGGTGGTACCATGGCTAGTAATTCTTCTTCTGATTCAGAATGGAAGGCCCAGCCATAATAGGAAGAGGATAAGCCCTGTCATGAGATATAGGATAAAATGTCATCATCATCATCCGTATCATCATCACCGTCCGCATCAACGTTATCGACATCGTGTTGATCATCATTTATAACTATGAATGTAAGAGCTATCATTATACCATCATTAACTCAATCATCAATTATCCATATCAATGTTATCATCATCGACATCATCATCATCATCATCATTACCATCATTGGTATCATTATCACCATCATTGGTATCATTATAATCATCACCATCACTGTTGTCATCATCACCACCATCATCACTGGTATCATCATCACCATCATTGGTATCATTATAATCATCAAACAATCGATTTCATAACCATATATTATCAATGTTAAGGCATATCATTCATATTATTGAAATAATCAATGACCTTTTCTTCCAGAAGAGCTCTTTGTATAGGTGGTAAAGTACCCATCAGACAAGTGTAATGTCTCATGGCCAGTAGGAAACGAAGACCACAATCATCAACAGCATCACCTCCACTACCCACTGACGCACCAATGCTTCCTGTTGTAGCATATCCACCTCCACCTCCACCGGGTCCTCCCATCAGACCACCAATATTACTGGAACCTTCTCCTATGATACAAGAATGTTATTTTAATAAAATCATCGTTAAAATTATCATCAATATTCATCAACATCCTCACCACCATCATCATCGTTAATGTCATCATCTATCATGGATCATCACCAGCACTAGCACCATAACTACGATCACCATCATTATCACCACCATCACCATCACCATCACCATAAATATCATCATTGCCATCATTATCCTCATCACCACCATCATCTTCAGTCTTCAGATTCATGATCATCATTAATATGACCATCAACAGCATCATCATCATCGCCATTATATATCATCATCATCACTATCATCATCCCCATCATCATCATCACCACCACTGTCAGTTCATCAACATCATCAACAACAACATCATCACCATCTCCATCGTCGTCACCGTTACCATCTCCATCATCATAAGTTGGGTAAAATATAATCAATTCGTTACCTTCTCGTTTGGCAAAGTTCAATCCTCTCTCTATATCATCTGGACTCTTCTCCAAGTCCAGCTTGGTGCTGGCAAAAGTATCAGACAGGGCCAGTAACTCTAACTGTTCGATACTGGTTAATCCAGGTAGCTGTATGCGAGTCAACTGGTTTGCTAACAGCCGTGCCTATAACATACAAGATAAATTACTACCAGACATACGACTTTTGACCTGGGGTACTTACCATTTAAACCAATCCATCCGGTTGGAAATTCATTCGCTAATTGTAAGAAAAGAGCGGGAAACTTTGACTTCGGACAGATGGTACACGCGTCTACCGAAAGAACCAAAAAGAGCGGGAAAAGTGGATTACCTCATTCAAAAGTCCGAGTTTTCCGGAACTTCCGATCCGAATAATGTATACCTTTTCCAACCAGGATTTGCAGTTTTTCCTGGTAAATGGTAAGCACCCGTGTTTAATGGTAACATTACTGTTACTGACCTGTGCAAGACCAAAATAAATGGGAGTATCAGGCCAAGTACCATGGGAGGGGCTGCCATACATCGAAAGAGTTCGTTTCCTACGCGTCTCAGATGATTTACTAAACTCGTCATCCAAGTCAATACTACCAACAGTGGCTGGTGCATCGAATAGTGCACTGTAATCTTTCTCTTCTGTAGGAACAGTCTGTATTCCTTGAACGTTAGATGTGTCACCTTAAAAATGGATAATTGGTTACGAAAAAAAATTGAAAAGGAGTTCCATCAAGTATATTGGGAGTAGAGTAAATTATGAATGTCAAATAGGCAAGACACTGACATGCTGTACCGTGACCATGACGGTATCATACGCGACCATTTTCATTGGCTATCTCTGATTGACGAAACCTGTTTTTCTCTCGCCTCAGTCGCTCTCGGTCTGTTTCTTGACAAAGGAAGCCCAGAGAAATCACGAAATTAAGAGATGCGAGAAAAACGTTCAGTGTCTACACTCATTTCCCCTTAGAAAACTGATGATATATAATACACACTAAAAATTGACGTACCTGCATATCTAGAGTCCTTATCTGCCGCGAGGAGAGCATGTAGAGGAACGGGCGGAATCAACAAAGGTCCTTCCTTCTCGTCAACCACGTCTAGTAATGCTTCCACGTCACCAAAGCTGCTCGTTCGAGGCATACTACACGTGCTAGTCAGACGAGGACGACCGCTGGCTGGATCGCTCGCTCGGGCTGCTCTTTGAACAGCTTCCTTACCAGCCACACACTGAACCTGAAAGAAGCAGGAAGCAAAATGTCAGACTTAAAAAATTCAGCAACACGATCCAACATTTTGCAAATATCTCGCTACTTTTTGAATTACGACGAAAATGCTGAATGTCAAATCACTGTCAGTAGCGATAGCCTTAAAACCTGCAACTCAAAGACTTTTTGGAAGAACGGAAGGAAAGAGAAGGGAGGGGAAGGGAAGAGAAGGGAAGGAAAGAGAAGGGAAGGGAAGGGAAGAGAAGGGAAG